TGTGATCCATAGTGTTTTCACTGGCTGATTTTCAGAAGTTGATAACCAGGCCTTTCTTCCTAGTCCACCTTAGTCTGGAAGCTCCACTGAAACCTGTTCAGCATCACAGCAACACCCAAGCCTCCACTGACAGATGGGTAGTGACTGTGCATTAAGTTCACTGGCTGGGAACTGGATAAACATCTGCCTCGTGGAAGGTAAGAACACTACCACTGAACTACTACTGCCCCCCAAAACTAGATAGAAAGTTTTAAAGATCCCCCTATTGCCTCCATGAACCTCTGCCTCCTTTGCCATGAGAACAGAAAAAATGGATGGTGCCTGGCTACTGTTACTGAACACAATCCTGATCAAAAGAGGGAAAATGCAGAATGGAATTTCAAATTCTCATGGACTCCAGACTTCCTGGAGCCATGAAGGTTGGATGAACTCCTGCAACTATTGCCCTAAGATAATCTTTAAACTTTTAACCAAAAATGTTATGTTGCTAGGTGCCATCAAGTCAGTTCCGACTCATAGCGACCCTATGTACAACAGAACGAAACACTGCCTGGTCCTGCGTCATGCCTACAATAGTTGCTGTGCTTGAGCCCAACGTTGCAGCCACTGTGTCAATCCATCTCACTGAGGGTCTTCCTCTTTTTCACTGACCCTCTACTTTACCAAGCATGATGTCCTTCTCCAGGGATTGATCCCTCCTGACAACATACCAAAATATCCCCTGCAAATAAACCAGGAGAGCTGTAGCTCTTGACTACTAAAAATAATATCGAACTCCCTAGGGCACTTAACAATTTACAGAGCACTTTCATATCTGTTACAAGAACTTGTTAATTAATAACCGCTGGTCTTTAGTGCTGCTAATTTAGTGACAGTGTTGCAAATCGGCTAGATCTTGCAAGATTGATCAGCCTTGCTCAGTCCCTCCCTGGATCAGCTGATGAACCCATCAGCTGGCATCTGGTTTGGCATTCTTCTCTCCTCCCAAATATCCAAGGCAGAGATTAAATCATGATAATAATTAGAGTATCACTGGGTGCATACAACGTGCAAGGTACTGTTCAAAGCATTTTACATGCTTAATCTTCCCTTTATCCCAAAGAGATTTTTATGTTCCCACTTCCAAAATGAGGAGACTGAGGCTAGAGAAGCTAAGTTTCCTCCAAGGACACACAGAACAGTGAGTAAGTACTGAAGCCAGGATTTGAACACAAGATAATCTGACACCCTCCCACCATCCTCACTCTTAATCAGTAGGTTATGCTAGAAAATTCTGGCAAAGTGCTTATACTATGGTGCTTGGTACAAAGTAGGTATCCAGCAAATATGATTTTAAAACTGCTGCTTAGATTCAGTGTGGGACTGTATGTATGCTTTCGCCAGGCCTTTCTTCTGAGGTTCCTCTGGGTAGGTTGAAACCGCCAATCTTTCAGTTAGTAGTGCAGTGCTTAACCATTTTCAACACCCAGGGACTCTGTATCCAGCAAATAAAAGCAGCTATTAGTAGACTCATGGCGACCCCACACGTGTCAGGGTAAAACTGAGCTCCATAAGGTGTTCAAGGCTGTGACCTTTCACGGGAAGTAAAACTGCCAGGCCTTTCTCCTGAGGTGCCTCCGGGTGGGTTCAAAATGACAACCTAGAAGTCACTGCTTAATGCTTAACCGTTAGCGCCACCCAGAAGCTCTACATGTGGTCGCCATGAGTCGGAACGAACCGATGTCAACTAACAACAACACTAGCAGACAGACACAAGACAGGGTGACTGGCGTAGTTTCTGGTTCCCATGAGTGTCACCTCCACCGGACCAGCGACCTTGCTGCCTGTCTAGTGACTGCTGCACTCCGAGCACACATCTGACGGTGAATGAATGAATGGACGTCCGTCCCAGAAGGCGGGGCGGCCCGCGTACGGCGCCTGTTTGCACATCTGGGTCGTACCACCGATGCCGCCCCTTAATAAGCACACTCGGAGAAGATGAGGACGCAGAGGAGCACCACGGGCACGCGATACTCTCTCGCACTGTCCGGGGCAGCGGAAGCAGCTCCCAGGGGATGGAGGGATGGGTCAGGGCTGCGGGTCCTACCTCCAGGGGCCCAGCCCTGCACCTAAGCTCTCTGGAGACGCCGTCCACCCGGCACCGGGTCGGCGGGAGACAAAGGCTCGAGGGGCCGCGGCCGCCGCGAGATGCGCGCTCCCTGGCACCTCCCTGAGAGAGCCCTAAGCTCCGGGACCGCCGGCCCGAGGAGACCCGCGCCCGCCCGCCTCGTCCCCGCCCCGAGGGTCGCCCGGGCTGGGCACGCAGGCCTGTCACCTTCAGGGCTGCCCGCCCTCCAGGGGCCCTCCCAGGCGAGCCGCCGCTGCCTGGGCAGGCCCCTTGCTGCCCTGCCGGGCTGGCCTCCTCACGGCCTCCCCGGTCTCGACCCGGCCCGTCCAGCCCTTACCTGCTGGGAAAGGGGTATAAGCGGCGCCGCCATC